GTGCAATCTTTACTGCAATCCTGTGATCTGCATGCTGTCCCTTTAAAACAATCCCCTCAAAGACCTGTGCAGTTCTTCCATGTCCTAGCCATTTTAGAAGTTTAATGCAATCAGAATTTTTATTGTAAGAAATTTCTGTCTCTCTCCACCCTAATTCTTCTGGAGTCCATTGAAGAAGTGTAATAAGCCACTGCCATCCTGAATTATCATACTTAAGAACTGCACATGCAGTGCAATGGTAGATAATCTCTTCATTTACCTTTTCCACTTTCAGTATCATATATGATGACAGTCAGAAAGAATTCCATAGACAAAAGTACATGTTGGTTGAATTCGAAAAATTTTTATAGCAAAAAAGGCCATCAGCATTTGAGAAGGTTGTTTGATTTTGTTTATATGGTTTGATTTCTATGATCAGGCTGACATTGAGAGGGTCAAGTGATAAGTCTTTTGTCATTCCAACAAAGCCCGGCTTACTCCTGTCAAGGATGGGAATCAGGTGTGTGTCATGGACCATAAGTGTACCTGTCAGAGGTATACATTGTTGTCTAAAATATTCTTGATAATCTCTTTCAGCACTAGAAGTAGGAGGATCATGGAAACGCCCTTTGTGAGCATGATTTGATATACTTATATAGTTGATAGATTCTTGTATATTGACAGCAAAAGGAAAGTACATCACATTATGTGGATTTGACATAATAGATCTCACAATATCTGTTTCATTATCAATTTCTAGTAAATATTGGTATTTTAAGCTTGTAAGCAACAAAAAAAAAATTGTATAAACATGTTTCATTATATACCTTGTGTAGGGATTGTTGAGGCTTCAGATGAGATCCTTACTCTCTTCACCTGAAACTCTAAATCTTCCATTTTTCGTTTCATTGATTCCATTGATTCAATCATGATGTGAAATTTTCCTTGCATTTTTGTCAAGATGATTTAGGTGAGAAAGAGGTGAATGAGATTCCATATTTAATTAAAATGAAAATTAAATAACCAAAGAAAAAACACAAATGGTAATTACCTTCATTTTCATCAACACCTTTCTCTGTGGTGTCAAATAAGAAATAACAGCAAAAATAAACAAAGGAGTACAAATTAAAGTTTAAGTATGCCAAATAAATAAACAAAATGGAATGAACGAAAAATAAAAATTTTTTTTTTTTTATGCAATTTGTTTGTTACCTTCTTTGTCAAAATTCACTAACACCTTCTGCAACTCCTCCACCTGCTTCAATCTATCATCCACGTTCTTCTCCAACCTCTCTTTTTCTTTTTCTAATCTATCTCTTCGCATTTCCCTCTTCATCTTCTCATCTCCACTCCATTTCCCCTCCATTAATCCATCCTCCAAATCTTTCAACATTTTCACATTCCCCTCCTCCTTAAACTCATCCAACTTCTTCTCCGCCTCTCTTGATCTATCTTTTGCATCTTTTAATTCTTGTTTAATTACTTCAATCTTGTAAAAAAAAAGTTTAAAAATTAAAAAAAATTTTTTTTTTTGTATTATTTAATTGATTTAGATTGTAATTGTTACCAATTAATTGTTTCCATAAATTAATGAGCATATGACTTGGAATTAAAATTTTTTTTATGGAACAATGAACAAGTTTTGTAATCGAGGATGTGAGCAGGAGAGACTGTTCTGGGAACACAAAATTCTAGCCTACTGACTTTGGCTTTACCAATTTCCCATAAAACTAAAAAAAATCCCCATTGATAACATAGAAATAGATATGGGTTTGATTCATTTGTCAACAATCATTTCAACAACAATCATTTCGTTAACGAATCTAAGAAGTCCACATGATAAACCATTGAAACAGTCTAATAAATTAAATAATCGTACTACTCGAAAATGTATTTAAAGGGTTGGTTTTCAACTTGGTTGAAGAATAACTCTCTTCCTAACCCTTCTTTTGACCATATCTCTCAATATAATCAAAATAACCTTAATATAACAAATGTTGATGAAATGATCACAAACACAACAAAATTAAGATACATGATCAAGATGAAAAATGAACAATGCATGAAAAATCAAACAAATGTTACATAAAACAACACCTTCTGTTCACGTTGATGGAAGTGGTAGATAAAAATTAAAAAAAAATAAAAAAATAAAACCAAAAAGGTAAGGAAAGATCAAAAATTTTTTTAAACATCAGATGAATGAATAGTGAAAAATAATTAGATTAAGTAAAATAATAAATAATTATAAATTAATAAAATAAATAAAAAATAATAATTATTAACAATATGTATAACATCAATCATTTCAGAGTAAAAAAATAATTTTTTTAACTAAATCAAAGAAACGTCTCATTTTTTTCATCTCATGCTCCCCAAAAAATTGTGTTTAGTAAAAATTGATTTTTTATCAGCACAATGCTCACTTGATCTGTTCGATCTGTTCGTCCATTCGCTCATGTATAATGATCACTCTTCTACAACATTTTATTTCCTGTATCACTGTTTATTTACAACAAGGTTTGCTAATATGATAAGAAATGAAGATATTAGCTTTATAGAATATGTTGATAAAAACAACATGGAAAAGGAAATGTTATTGAATCTCTAAAATTTGATAGGATATACAGAGAAGAAATGCCAGAATATGGTGGTTATGGATATTTAATAAATATGAATTCTGTTGAATTTAGTATACAAGAGGTATGTGTATATTAAAAAATTTATTTAACATATAAGTTGTAAAAAGATTGATTGCTTTATTAAATAATGAAATTTAGGTAAATAAATATGGAGAAATCAAAAAAATAGAGGAAAAATTAAATAAACTGAGGATATAGACATCTGCAGATATTTGGTTGGAAGATCTAGATTTGTTAAAGAATGGAATAAATTTTTACAGTATGATTCATTAAATAATTATGACTGTGAAAATGAATTATCTGATGAAATGAAATCTTCAAATAAAATCAACAACAAAAGAAAGTTTTTTCATATTTAAAAGATAGTGATGAAATAAATAAAACAATTGTTGATGATGATGATCAGATGAAAAAGGTAATGATGATGACAACATTATTATTATTTATAATAAAAAACTTTTTCATCTCAATTGACTTGAACATTTTATCTAAATATATTAGAAAAATGACAGTCAACCAATAGATGTAGATGAATTTTATGATTATTATTAATTATTATTTTTAATGTTATTGTATTTAGATTTTTTCATTTTATTATATTACTAGAAATACACTAATAACAAATTATTGCTAAATTTTTAAATATATTTCTTTTGATGCTAGCATTTGTGTATATAAATTTTGCATACTAACAACATTGTATTTATTTTGTACTTAGTACATAACATTGGTTGGTAGTGAACAACTGAACCAAAAACTAATGATTGTATTTAAAAATTCAAATGAAATATTTAAAGCTAAAAATGGATGAAAAGTCTGTGTTCAGGCAAATTTGATAAGTAAGATATGGGTGGCTGGGCATGGTGCTGTATTAAACCATTTAATTATTTGGACATTAATTCATCTTTTGCTTGCAATTGGTCACTTTTGAGAATTTTTTATAAATAAAAAAATATAAAACTGAGTTTATTTTGGTTTTATTAATTTCTTGATGAAAGACATCCAGCTTTACAAAAACTTTACATATATGCAATTGTATACAATTTTGAAAGGAAAGAGAACAAGGGATTGTGTTGGTGATTGCTACTTTTAATCCCTGAAATCTTTGGTAATACCCAATGTTCACTCTGTCTGGTTTTGTTGCAGTATGCCCCATTTTAATAATTCAGAAAAGGAGTAAACTGTGGAATTCATTTATATACATCATGATGTAAGATAATCAACTGCTTAGTCAACCAACTAATAATCAATTTAGGATTTCTTTGACCAATTCCAATCTCTAGTGTGTGCCACTGTTTAATAGTTTATTTCATGAAAGAAGGATATTATTCTATTAAGCTAAGATCATGGATTGAATGAAGATTTGTTGTGGAGGGTAAATACTAAATTCCAAAATGGTTTTCCTTTTATCAATATAGTCTCAACACAATACATATTAGAGGTTGGGCACCACACAACAATTCTTTAACCGGTTAATTAACAGTTAAAATCAAGAGTTAACCGGTTAATTTAGTCACGTGGAATTTTTTTACAAAATAATCACGTGCCTGTTGAATTTTATTATCATGCACTTAACAGATGCTAAATGATTACAGTCAAACCTCGCCACAGCGGATTTATGGTTCCAGCTAAAAAAACCCGCTATTGTTATTATTATTATTATGACAAGAAATCCGCAGCGGCAAAATTACTGATGCATCGGGCAAAATTTTTTAATAAATAATAGTATTTAATCCTTGTAATTAAGTAGTGAGGGTTTGTTCAAATTTTATTTCGACGTTGGTTTGTGGTTGTGGAGTCTGATGTCTTGATCTTTCTTCAAGGGATTGTTTGTTAAAAACTTCCGATCCCTCTAATTCTCTTCCCGGTTGTGATGTAGAAATGATAGAGCTTTCTTCTTGTGAATTTTCTTCGTCAAAGTCGTTATTATTTTCTCTAAAAGCCCAGTTATACAAATTACTCATGCAGAAGTGTTAATAATATAGGTGTAAGTGTATAAATAATAATGAATGTGTGTATGTGTTAAAAACATAATGTATATAAACGTGAATGTGTGTATTAAAAACTTAATGCATGTAAACGTGAATATGTGTATGTGCATGTGTGTTAAAAACGTCCACTGCTTTTTGAATTATATATTATAAACGTGTGTGTGCGTGCGTGCGTGTGTGCGTGCGCGCGCGCAAACGTCCACCCGCTGCTTTTTGTTTTTTTTTTTCTGAATAATATATCGCAACGTGAATGTGTGTGTGTGTGTGTGTAAACGTCTGCTGCTACCAAATTGTAAAGAATTTGTGAAGAATTACTTCAAAAATGAATTAAACACTTTTCTACAAACAAATACTTTAATTGTGGTAAAAATATAAGTTATTCTTTATTCCTTTAATATAATAACATAATAACATATTTATAATGATAAGAAAATACAGTTATTTGAATATTACTAAACATAATTAGCAAAAATACTTAATATATAAAATTGATTTGTTCACCGTCATTAATGTTTATTTGTACGTAGTACTCGTGATGAAAATGTAAATTGTTACATACTATCACTATTGGTATATTTGTAACTATTATCATTGTTTTGAAATGATTTCAATTTACTAGTAAATTCATTTTCATTTTCATTATGAGTTTGTTGATTTAATTCTCTGTCTTTTCATCAGCACAAACAACAACATTATTAAATATTTTATTGGATTTCTTTTTTCTTCTATATATGATAAGAATAGAAATGAAAGCAATGATGAAGATTGCACCAGATGTAATTGATCCAATAATTATACCAGTAGTTTGTGCACTGGTGGTGGTTGGTTTATTAACAGTGCTAGTAATGATTTTAGCTGTTGAAGGATCAAATGTGTCTAGCCATTTATAATTATATTTGTCACTAATATCTAACAATAAAATATTTTGATAGCTACCATGACCAATGAGAACACCTATTATTATTATTATTGAATATAAATATAATTAATATAAATAAATAAATATATTTATGTATGAATTTTAAATTGTTATTATTATAAGTTACCAAATGAGATTATCATGTAATTTTTATATAAATTTGAAGTATGATAACAATGAAATCTATTAATTAGATTAACAGGATAATTAGTAAAGTTTGTTGGAACTGTCCATTGGAAAGGAGATTTTGTTATATCCAATATTGCTAATTTATCCAAACTTGAAGTACCACCATACACAATTATCCTTCCATCAGGTGCTAAAACAAATAAATATGTGTATATATAAATTAGAAAAAATAAATTTAACTAATGATAAAACTAATTGATTTACCTAATACTGAAGAACATCCAAATCGTGGAGAAGGTGTATCACCAATTGTTGTCTAATGTAACAAATATTTATTAATAACTTTTTAGTTGAAAATTTTATTACTGATGATTATATAACTTACAATATTAGACCATGAATTTTGATTAATATTATACAAGTATGTCTAAATATAATATCTATTATTAGAAAATATAATATTCTCATTCCTTTTATTTTAATTAAATAATAAAAGAATAAATTATAATATTACTTTAGTTCTAAGAAGATTTAGGCAAATTATATTCTCATTATTCAACACATGACAATTGAAAAAATTTATGACTACTATAGATGGACCACTATTACTTGGTGTTAAGGTTGTAAATATCAAACTTTTGGCATTGAATTTATATATATTTGGATCCTTTTCAGTGAATATATAAATGTTTCCATTATTATCTAGTGTATAGATCATTTTTCTAACTTTATTTAATTGTAATTGTCCATTTATGGTTTCTGGAGTCCATGTATCAAATGAATTTGTATTTATTGAATAAACTATAGATCCATAAGCTGTAGAACCAGGTACTGATAGACCTTTATATCCAGCTATAACATAAAGTGTGTCATTATTAGTTCCTCCTAATGCCAATGATGCACTTTTAAATGGAGGTATTACTGATTTTGGAACAATTAGTTTTATTGGTAATGTTTGATTAAGTGAAAATGATGTGGATAAATCCAGGTAAATTATTTGGTTTGTACGTCTTAAATAGCCAGTTTCCCCTCCGAAATAATAGAGTTTATCATTTAACACTATCGAACTTTGATCACTTATATTTAATAATTGACCAGAAACCAAAAAATTGAAACTATCTAATAAAAATAAATTGAAAATTATTATTAATAAATTTAATAATTTTAGATAGTTGCAATGAGGATAATTCATTAAATTATGCATTTTTTTTAAAAAAAAATGTAGTATTAAAAATAAATCTGCATTGCCTTCAAAAATGAATAATATATATAAGGAAATTATGTACAAAATAAAAAAAGTAAATTTTTGCTATTTGGCAAAATAGAAATAAAAAAATAAATCTATACCAAATATGCAATTAAAATTTTTACACAGTAAAGCCACCATTCTTATTGAAACGCAAATTTCTTAGCCAATTAAAATCTCCTATTAAATAGTGTGGCTTCATAGAATATGTTATTTTACTATTGAAAAATCTTTCTCTGTGCGTGATAAAATTTTCACACTAGAAATTTTAAATTGTTACTTAAAAACAGAATGCTTAAAAATATTTTATTTTTAATTGAAAACTAAAATAGAGGCAAATTTAAGAAAAACATCAAAAATAAAAGATTAAATAAAACAATTGACAATAACCATTATAATTGTTGAGAGCAAGCAGTGCTTATTTTTGACAACCTGATAATTATATATTGGATGATATATATCATATATAGTACTAAGCATTTAATTTTAATATTAATATAATAAATTGTGATAATTAGAGCTCTGAATGAGTCAGGTCAGGTCGGTTCAACGGGTCACAGATTAAGAAAATTACAAATGTAAATATATTAATTGATTTAAATATATACAGTACACACAATATGTTCACTGTTACTGCCACTTTTAAGAAATCTGTCCAACAACATCATTGCTTGTTTATTTACATTAACATCAATTTTAATTTTATGATTTTTAAGATGATGACTTAAATTTGAAGTAGAGCCACTATTCATATTATATTTCCCATGCCTTTATTTAATATAATTATCATGATTAGTAATTTTTTTAAAAAAAAAAATAAGTAATGCAATTTATTTTAATTACTTACAAGCAATATTTACATTTAGCCCATTTTATGCCATTTGTTTATCAAAATGTGTCCATATTGAACTTTTATTCTTAGAAATACTGCGAGCGTGCAATCCGAGTTTCCTATTTAATAGGTTATCTATAGCTCAACACACAGCCTCCTCACTGACTTATGGTTGATTCTATTGTTTGACACACAGCCTACTCGCTGACTTACGGTCAATTTCCTTTATTTATATATATATGACACACAGCTTACTTGCTGACTTACAGTCAAAGATTAATAATAAAAATAACTTTTATCTTCCTGGATAAAAGGGTCCCTAGGTTCTATGTAAATGATTATATCCCAAAGGCGTCCCCTTGAGATGTATCTGAATAATTAAAAGGGTTCCCAACTAATAATTAAAGGTTGGCCAGACCATTAACTATTAGAAGGGCTGGGGGGTCAATCACATTGGGTTTATTAGTTACTTACAGTCAATGACTATTTTATGTAAGGTTATATATTTATTAAGGGTTATTATTATGTTATTGTTATCAAGGTTGTTATTAACAATATTAACAATTGATTTATTAATTAGTCTTATTAACTTGGTCTAAAGCCAAGTGTATTTATACCTCTTGGGGCAGTACAAATAATGTGATATGTGCTACTCTACTCTCCAATAATATGCTTATCAACTAATTACTAATTCTAAATAAATATTTACATCAGATGAGAAGGTTAATAAATATAAATATAGAAATATGAATAGGAATAGTCTTTCATATGACACTGCACAATGTGCGGTGTAGCCATTACAATAATATAATATTTAGCACATCACATGACTTCTGTAGTAAATTCATTCTAATTAGTCAATATTAACCAGGTAATTGACAGGTCCAAGATTTACTATCTCACAATACCTTCTAAAATATATACTTCCTCTTAACTTCAATTACCAATATCAATGTTTCCACATGATGGCAGTTGAAATCCAGTATGGCAGTAGTATGAGTTGATAGCCTTGAAAATACGCAGTCTGGTCCCATAAACCTATTTAACACCATGCAGATATTGACATCAATAGCAACACAAACATCCTCCTCATTTAATACCACTTTATTTTGAATAAATTGTGGTCTCTTGAATCTTGGTTGTTGGTCAAAGTGAAAGCAGTTCACTTCATTGAAGAAGTCATCCCAAAGCATTACACTTGATGGTGGGTCACCATTAACCTTTGTAGTGGTCTTTGATGTAGTACATTTCAGAGCATATGTTATGGGTGGTGGAATACATGACAACACCTCTTCCAAGTTGAGAACTGAAAACAAATATATGTTAAGCAAGCTGATTAATTTGAGTTATTGTAAATAGAAATTTTAAATTGTTACTTAAAAACAGAATGCTTAAAAATATTTTATTTTTAATTGAAAACTAAAATAGAGGCAAATTTAAGAAAAACATCAAAAATAAAAGATTAAATAAAACAATTGACAATAACCATTATAATTGTTGAGAGCAAGCAGTGCTTATTTTTGACAACCTGATAATTATATATTGGATGATATATATCATATATAGTACTAAGCATTTAATTTTAATATTAATATAATAAATTGTGATAATTAGAGCTCTGAATGAGTCAGGTCAGGTCGGTTCAACGGGTCACAGATTAAGAAAATTACAAATGTAAATATATTAATTGATTTAAATATATACAGTACACACAATATGTTCACTGTTACTGCCACTTTTAAGAAATCTGTCCAACAACATCATTGCTTGTTTATTTACATTAACATCAATTTTAATTTTATGATTTTTAAGATGATGACTTAAATTTGAAGTAGAGCCACTATTCATATTATATTTCCCATGCCTTTATTTAATATAATTATCATGATTAGTAATTTTTTTAAAAAAAAAAATAAGTAATGCAATTTATTTTAATTACTTACAAGCAATATTTACATTTAGCCCATTTTATGCCATTTGTTTATCAAAATGTGTCCATATTGAACTTTTATTCTTAGAAATACTGCGAGCGTGCAATCCGAGTTTCCTATTTAATAGGTTATCTATAGCTCAACACACAGCCTCCTCACTGACTTATGGTTGATTCTATTGTTTGACACACAGCCTACTCGCTGACTTACGGTCAATTTCCTTTATTTATATATATATGACACACAGCTTACTTGCTGACTTACAGTCAAAGATTAATAATAAAAATAACTTTTATCTTCCTGGATAAAAGGGTCCCTAGGTTCTATGTAAATGATTATATCCCAAAGGCGTCCCCTTGAGATGTATCTGAATAATTAAAAGGGTTCCCAACTAATAATTAAAGGTTGGCCAGACCATTAACCATTAGAAGGGCTGGGGGGTCAACCACACTGGGTTTATTAGTTACTTACAGTCAAAGACTATTTTATGTAAGGTTATATATTTATTAAGAGTTATTATTATGTTATTGTTATCAAGGTTGTCATTAACAATATTAACAATTGATTTATTAATTATTCTTTTAACTTGGTCTAAAGCCAAGTGTATTTATACCTCTTGTGGCAGTACAAATAATGTGATATGTGCTAGTCTACTCTCCAATAATATGCTTATCAACTAATTACTAATTCTAAATAAATATTTACATCAGATGAGAAGGTTAATAAATATAAATATAGAAATATGAATAGGAATAGTCTTTCATATGACACTGCGCAATCTGTGGCGTAGCCATTACAATAATATATTTAGCGCATCACATGACTTCCGTAGTAAGTTCGTTTTAATTGGTCAATATTAGCCGGGTAATTGATAGGTCCAAGATTTACTATCTCACAATATACACATATCCTTATATATATATAGTTTTATAATTTTATGTTCACTTTGTAAGTTTTTTTTATAATTGTTTTAAAATTGAAGTATATGCATCAGGAAAATGGGTACAAATATTATGCGTATATAATACACAATTGCAGGGATTAAGCATATAATATATGTACAATTTGCATACATAAAAAAATACGCAATTTGTACACATATTATATGCTTAATCCCTGCAATTGTGTATTATATACACATAATATTTGTACCCATTTTCCTGATGTGAATGGAATTAATCTTAAATGAATCACTGGAATAGGTTTAAGTAAATGATTTAAAAATATGATTGTTCAGTAACTTATGAAGAGAAATTGAAAAAATTTGGTCAACTGGCCCCATGAAAAATTGGAAAGCTTTGGACAAAACTTTCCCCTATCTTCCTTTCAGACCAGGCTTGGCTGTTACCAAATGGGCATTGATTGCTGATAGCTGGTGCCTGTGTGAATGATTACTTTGTGTTATACCCCTTCAGTATAAAGTTGGCACCTGCAACTGGTTGAAAAGTCCTGCAACTCAGAAGGTTGCAACCTGGGTTGCTGTTTTGGATTTTCCCTGAATTCGGAGTTTTGAGTCCTGGGTTGCTGTAATTTTTATGAAAAGAAAAGTATTAATATTTAACAATTAATTATTTAAATGTTTATTTTGTTGAAAAAAATATACATTGATAGTGTACATTTTCTGTGCTTAACATCCATGTGACCCTAAGTCTGGACAAAAGATCCCTTTCTATGAGTTTGGCTGGTATATCTCAAAGGCATCTCCTGTCTTGTCAGTGGCATGCCTACTCACCAACAACCATACCCCATTTGTTTAAATAACAAATTCAGTTGGTCAAATAAAAATTAAAGAAAAGCAGAAAATTTGGGAAAATGATTAATTTATAACATACCAAACAAAATCCAATTTTATTTTACAGCTTTCTCCTTGATGCCAGTGATCATGGTGACTATCACAATAGGAGTGGGCAGAGTCAAACTGCCATCTTTATACTTGTAAGATACATGCTCTCATCAAGCTACACTCCTTTAACCTAGGGTGGGAGGTTATATGGGCAAAAGTTCCCATTTAAAAAAACAACAAATTCAGTTGACAAATAAAAATTAAAGAGAAACAGAGAATTTATGAATGATTAATTTATTACATACCAAAATCTGAACCATTTTATGACTTTTTTCTTGTTGGCCACATTGCTGACAAAGATGTATATAATCATGTGATAATTTTAACCTACAGGACAGGGGACTGATTGGGCAAAACCCCAATCTAGTCCCCTACCCAAAATTATAAATTGGTTAGTATCAAAGAAACAGAGAATTTATGAAAATGATTATACAAAACAGGCACCATTTTACAACTTTCCTCTTAACATCAGAGCCCAATACAATTTCAGGGCTACAAACACTGCTCTGGATTGTAACCTCCTGTGCTTGAAACAGGTTGCAGATTCTCTTAATATTCCTCCATGAGTTGTGACTTGGTCACAGAGCCATCCTTTACCCTAGAGGTAGGATCGTTGCAGGCAACTTTTCATCTAGCATACCAGTGGCCATCTCTGGTCTGGGAAGATTAGTGAAAAGTGTCATTGATGATTGATGCAGTCTTGGTAAACTCCAGATCCATGTGCCTTCTGGAATTCAATTGCACCATCATATCTTTGGGTCGCCAGGTCAAGATTGGCCTTTTGTACATGAGGAACATGTGAGAATGACTGTAATGTGTTCAAGGTTGCATGCATGCTTCAACACTTGTAAATTTCTGATAATCAAACATTGCATATTTGAATTGTTTCTTTTTAAATGGTGTGCTGCCTTGACATCTTGTGATTATAATTATATATTAATAATAGTATTATTATTTACAATTACGCAAAGCAAAATATTATCAATGATAATCTTGTAAATTACCCAGCAAGATCTGCTCCACATTTTGATTTCCAATTAAAATATTTATAAGCTAAAATAAAAGACATCTCATACATATCAATACAAGTAAAAAAAAGTGCCTCTGGTTAGTTATTAACACATACTCCATCCGGAAAATATAAAAAAATTTTACACGTGTCAATTGTAAGTTTAATAATAAAAAAGTGTAAAACTTACGTCGGCACTGTAAGATTTACACAATATTACGTCGGCATCATAAGATTTATGCAAGTTTACGCTAAATTAATTTCCTGATGTCTTTAGGAGGCCCAAACCAAACCAAATAGCAAAACTCACATTTTGTCATTTTGGACTGTCAAAAAATAAATTATTTTTCCAAAAAAAAAAAAACAATCAATCAATTTGTGTCTGTCCTATCAAAAAAAAAAATCAATAGGATAAATAATTAATGTGTATGCATTGATCAAATAACAAACTTTCTTTTATTATTATTAAAAAAAAAAAGATGTTGGCTGTTGCTGATAAAAAAAGAAGAAAAGAAAAAGACTCTGTAGAAGTAAATGGGTAAGCGTTTTAAGGATGGTGGTGGTGGTTATTGCCCGCCACTTGTCATTACTCTAGTTTATTTTTAAAAGAATGGTTGGCAGTGATCAGTCTACCACCTGTTATCAAAAAAAAACTAACATAATAAATAAAAAATTTTTTTTTTAAAAAGAACAGACTTTGGTAATGTTGATGAAACAAAAAACAACATTAAGGTGGTCGTAAGGTGCAGGTGAGTTTTAGAAAACAGAAATAATTTTCTAAATGTATTACTTTTTAATTAATTTCATTCACCTCACTCTTCAAAAAATAATAATAGAAACTTAGTAGATGGAGAGAGTTCAGAATCAATTGTTGTAAGTATTACAGATGATCAGGTAGTGTGATATGCTTAGATCCACCAAACAAATTGCTATATAAAACCTATTTTTTCAATTGTGTATTTGGAAAAGACATGAATCAACAAATGGTATTTGATTCCGTAGCTTATCCAATGTTGGAAGATGTGCTGAAAGGGTTTAATTGTACATTGTTTGCATATGGTCAAACGAACATAGCGGGCTTTCTATTTTATGGAATGATTGGCATCAGTTACACCACATATATTTCATATGTAAAATTTGCATCGCCTGACTTTAAACCAATTGTTGGCCACCAAAACCGATTGTTGAACAATATAAACAATATATTCTAATTTTTCAACTTCTATTTTATATATTTTCAAAGTAATTCGGAAAAAGGTGAAGTAATTCAGAAGTTAGCTTTGAAAGACTTTTTTGCATTTGGTAAATTGTATGTTTACTCTGAAAATAATAAATTATTTAACAATCGCTAGAGCCATAACGAACAATCTTAATAGAGAGTTTAGATTCTGTTTGATATTCTGGTTAGTGATTTGAGATGTTTTTGAATAAATAAAACGTTTTATTTATTTATTTAAATTAAATTAAATTAAATTATTGTTTTTTATAAAAAGCTGAAAAGGTACATTAATAAACATTAATCATATAACTCTTACACTCTTCTATAGATCTAAATAACATAATGGATCACTGGACAAAAAGAAGGTATGCACAATGGTTGTAGAATGGTTGTGATTATGTCTGGTGTGTTATTAGTTTTATGGTGAATGCGTGAACAAATTTAAATATTTATAATTTACTTAATATTTAATAAGAATCGCATAATAGTTTAATATATTGTAGGTAGTGAGTAAATGATACATTTATTGATTATATCAAACATCAAATTTCATTCAACATATTATTTTATGTAATGGGTGGGATATGCTGTTTCTCTCAAATTAGTCATTTTGATATGGGATATTTGTACCATATGTGTACTTTATTATATATTTTTTTCATTGCAATTATTATTATAGCAAAAGTTCCCACATTAATGTTTTTGCTGAATTATTTATTACCAATTACAAATAAAATTATTGTTAAGAATCTATCTATCTAGTCTTGGAAGTAATAAATAAAAACGATCGGCATATTATAAATTATCAACCAATCACAGAGAAAGCCCGCTATGTTGGTCAAACTGGATAATATTGATAACAGTGATAGTACTAGTGATTGTGATAATAATATTGGTACAAATACTGGAATAATCCCACATTTCTTTCACTGTCTTTTTCAAACTTTGCAATCAGAATATATTAATATCGATTCTTCAGTAAAAGTATCTTATGTTGAGTTATATAATGAAGAATTGAAGGATCTGTTATCTGATAATGATCGAGATAAATTGATAGTTTCCATGAAGGGTTTGAAGAATCATAAAGAGATGGATATAAACAATGCCAGTGAGGGCATTGATATTTCAAAGCAAGGGGTGATTAGAAGGAAAACTGCAGAAACCAACTATAATAAAAAGTCAAGGTATTTAATGGATGGATGATTTTATAGCAATCAGATAAAAATTATTATACTCATTAATTGAAACATATAAATAAACGATTTATCATGATCATCAAATAATCACAATAATAGTCGTTCCCACTCAATATTTACAGTAACAGTTGAAATGTCATTGAATGATGAAAAATTGACAAAAGTTGAAAAATTGAATTTTGTCGACTTGGCAGGATCAGAATGTGTTGCTCTCACAGGTACCAATGACACACGCTCAAAAGAAACCGGAAACATCAATACTAGCTTGTTAACACTTGGTCGATGCATTAATTTACTTGGTGAAAATTCTGGACATGGGCATGTTCCTTATACGTTAGTGTACACATACATACACATATATTTAATTAATCAATTATTGTTAACAAGGATAAATAATTAATATTATTATTATTTTTATTATTAAGGGATAGCAAATTGACCCAATTATTAAAAGATTCATTTGGTGGAAACACCAAAACAACAATGATTGCAACTATATCACCGGTGGAAGCAAACTTATCAACATTAAATTATGCAAGTCAAGCCAAAAATATCATTAATAAGCCAGTCATAAACAGGAAGGTATGATGAAGAAAATTTTTTTTATCCAAAGAAATAAATTTTATACACTACAAATAAAATTCATATATTGTTGATAGGAAGGACCTTGTAATTTACAAAATGAAATATTTAAAGAAGAAAATACAAAAATCAAAGATTTGCATGATGTAATTTAAGAAAAAAATGACTTGATCCAAGTTCTACATAATGAAATCAAAATTTACATGATATAATTTGTGAATTAGAAAAAAAAAATCAATTTTTACATAACAATAATCAAAATTTACATGATGAATTAAAAGAGAAAAATAACTCAATTGAAATTTTACATAACAAAATTAGGTAATATTAGTTCTTTTTTGGTTTATAAAGAAATTTGGCATAAAATAATGTTAGCTAAATCAGAATTTGAATTTAGATGAAAAAGATGGATCAGTGCGAAAAGCAATGGCGGAATTACAAAAATCAGTTAATGATGACCCTGAAGATGATATTGAAGAGGTAGATGTAATTTTGAAAAAAATAATAATAGAAATGACAAAGAAAGAGAGATTATTATTATTTATTATTAATACAATAATAACTGTTATCCCTTAAATGAAATTGCGACCAAATCTGGCTGCAATTTGCAATTCTGATTCAAAAATTACAAAAAAAGGTATTTTTACTGTGATCTCACCACAACCTTTCTTATTTGATAAATGATATTCAAAACACCCTACTTTTATTAAAAAAATTTCGTTTGGGGTTACATATTACAAATAAAGAAATAATATGTGTAAAACATAAAAGTTCCTTTGAAATTTTCTTTGCTGATCATTTTATTATAAAACAAAATTCCGACAGAATTTGAAATCCTATGAAATACTAATTAAAGGACATTTCTAAAATAATTATTGTTAATTAACTGCTTATTTTTATTGATGTTTTTTGTGTTTTGGAAAATAGACATAATAAATTATGGAATTAATACTACATGCGGAATTGAAAACTCCCGAGTTTGAATCCAAATCCTTTAATGAATTCATACTAAATTTATTATAAATGCCAGAAGTGTAAGAGATTATCATAGCATTATTAATTTCTCCAAAGAACTCACAGATCACTATTTTCACAGACAGCAAAGCTTCTATCAAACATTTTAATACACTACAAAATTCCAAGTACCCATTGATGCCAAGGAATATATTTAAAGAAGCTTCAAACAGTTTATTATGGACAATTCTTAATGACATTGTCAACATTAATAATATTAATTTAAATTTTGTTAAAGTCAAGGATCACAGTGGTGACCATTTTAACGACAAAGTGGATGAATTAGCCAGATTGACGCATGGTTGTAATTCATTACCAATAACTTTTATTCTGGACAATTTATTCTCAATCTCATATATTCCGCGATGGAACAATATAATTGTAGAAAAGCATTTACGACATTTTATTACAGATTTATCAAGAAAATCGTGGTTTTGAACAATTTATTAACTTATACAGAAACAATACTTTTGGTGAATTACCACCAATGGATGAACAACAAATTGTTGCAAATATATTTGAATCTGTTGCTGGGGGAATTGACACTGTAAGCATTGTGATAAAATATGTGTAGTATTACATGGTATCATATATTAGCATACATACATATAAATATTCCTAACTTAACTTTTTAATTTTTTTAGACAGCAAATATGATTAGCATAGGGCTCAATCTTATTTTGGCACATAAAGAGGTTAAAGAAAAGATGCTGGAAGAAATTAATCAAGTATTTGCTGATAACTCAAAACGTCCAATGACACATGAAGATTATGAGAAAATGGAATATTCTCAAGCCGTTGTGAAAGAATTTTTAAGGTATCACACTATAGCACCAGCATTGATTCGCCAGACAACATCAGAAAATGCAGAAATTAGTGGCTATAATTGGCCAGCTGGTACATGCGCTTTTATAGATGTTAATGGATTGCAGAAAAACCCTGATTGTTGGGAAGATGCCGATCAATTCAAACCAGAACGGTTTCTAGAATGTGAGGTAGACAAAATAGGCAAATATACTTATACACCTTTTGGTGGTGGTGTACGCATCTGTCCTGGTCGTCTCATGGCAAGGATTACAATAGCTTCAGTTCTTATTAATTTATTGAGAAATTATGATATTGAATATTATGAGAAAGAAAATCAACTCAAATTTATTGATAGTTTCATAAATGTTGTAACTGATTTTAAAGTTATTCTTAAACCCAAAAATTAATTTAATCTTTGGGGCATAATTTTCTTGTTATCATGTTTTAAATAAATAAAATGGTTCCCTATGTTAGTATTATGGCGAAACTTGAAACTTTAGTCATTGACTATTGGATGTAAATAAAAAACCCTACCACTATACATTATACATGACCTTTATTTTGTTTCCCAAAAATGTCAATCAATTCTTCTTAAACTTTTTTAGGAATATATCCAAGTTTGCTCAAAACCTCGTTTACTTGTTATTCATAATCACATCTGTCTTTTATCGAAGCTCCAAGTTATATTATCACATAAGTTTTGTAGAAAGACCCAATAATAGTTCTTATCATCTGGTGTAAAAAGCTAAGTATTTTTTTTTTGATTTTACACATATACAGTAAACCTCTATATAATGAAACATTTATCTGGAATATTCATGTTCATTATAGAGAAGTTTCGGTTTACATGTATACCGAATTTATTTGCAAATTTTGTAGAGAAAATTGAAATATAATTATTTATTGAACATAAAATATAGATTTTGAACCATTGAAAACAGTTATGTCTAATTTTTCAGCTTTTTTTCAAAGAGCAGGATCAGAGGGATCTGATCATATAGTAAAGAATTGTCTACCTAAATTATCATGGCCTTTCTAATTCCTCATGTCTTGGTTTTTGTTCCTGATAACTAGTAGCTTGAACTGAACTCTCATTTACAGCTAACCATTTATCTTTAGCTTTGAGTGTATCAATAATGGTTGATACACACCACATCCATAATTCAACATTAGATGGTTCAGGTCTTTAACTTATCAGCTGTAACAGTTGTCTTCCTTTTCATTTAATTAAATTACAAAAATTTATTTTAATGTCATTAGATCATCATCACCAATCATATTTGTAATAAGGTAAAAAAAAATATAAACTTCGCTTGTGAGTATGAACAAGATCTTTATATTGTCTTAGAACTGATAATCTTTCTAAATGCGCTAACTTACCTTCCGAGAGTCTATCTGCATTAAATGCACATATAGCCCATTGTAGACAGTTATTATCCTTGGTCTCGCTGTTATCGGGATTTATTGTTCCCTTTGTGTTTGTGAGCTTTTTAGGAGTCTTTATATAGCTTCCTCTAGAGCTCCGAAACGAGTCGGGTCGGGTCATGATTTAATTGACCCGGGTTTGACCCGGGTCAACATCATGTTATAATTGCCTTTAGAAGCTCAAAATTATTTTTGAAACTAGTATAGATACTAATA